GTTCAGGGACGATATTAACTGTAAATCATATAGGATAATGTAGGGCTATAGGACTTCGAAACATATTGCTCCGCGTTCACTGTTTACAGAGTTTATTATTGTTATTAATATTATTTGGATGTTAAAAAATCAAAAGTTATACTTCAAAATATATTTAGATATATACATATATACACACACATATATATATATATATATATAAAACATATAAATATATATATATATATATATTTATTTATTTATATATTTACGTACATTATATATTTATATATATATATGTATTATATATATATTAAAAATATATTTTTTTAATCAATTAAAATGTTTTTGAGATTTTTTTTCAGTGTATACACTTAGTTAACCTGTTTTATTTTGAAGTTATTTTTAATTTTCTAATATCTAAATAATATTCATAATAATAATAATAAAACTCTGTAAACAATAAACGCGAGACAATATATTTCGAAGTCCCTACAGTGCTCTGTACGATTTATAGCTAATATCGTCTCTGAACTTGATCGTTCTATGTCTCCGTGCGCAGTGTAAATGTTATGAAACAAAAAGAATAAAAATGATAGTAGGCAAAATCGGTCAAAATGTGCAACCAGCTCCAAGCCTGGCTTAAGTCTTAATTTGTACTTGGATGTACTTTACATAGTAAAATATGAAATTTTTAAGCTTGCCTAACACAAAGGTTTTCACTAATCTCTCATAACTGTTATGTGAATTTATTAACATTCTTTGTAGTCGAAATCATCGTAATATTTATTAAGACAATTTTATCTCTCATATTATAAAAATTCTAAACTTTATCATAGAACACACAAGAATATGGGTAAACTGTTTATACTGACATATTTAAATACACATTTTATAGATACTAATAGATACAAAACATACTTTAGCTTAAGATGCCTTTCTCTCATCATAAGTTTTAAAGTTTACTGATATTATTGTAATAACGCAGTAATTTTATATTATAATATGATAAATACTGCATATTCTAATCGCTTGAATTAACATACTACATAATTGAAGTGGAATAACAGTGATGTTAGTACATCATATATGTTAAAAATTGTATGCTACTGTCTAGCTGCAGATTTCTTAACATATTTCCACTTTCCAACAAACTTTTGTTAAAAAATCCGTAATTTAAGAGAAAAAATTACATAATATGCAATATATTGTGTATATACATGCGTCTTTGGCAATAAAAAATAAATTCAAATAATAGCATGCTATGTATTTATATTTATCTTACAAAATATATATTTTTTATATTTATCTAGAATATGATTTTATATATATATATATACATATATATATATATATATATATATATATATAAAACAGATAATATGTATATAGAAATAAATACCTCAAGATTGTTTACACGATTCATTTATGCAACTTATCATTTGAATCAAAATAATTCCAAATCGAATCAGTAGTGATGACAACATATCGCGTATATACACATAACGAAATATATGAGTGTAACAGTTAATATTTATTATACACCACACATAATTATATTGGCACAAAAATCTTTTATTATCACTCCCATACAATCTAATTCACTTTATAACACGCAATTGTATTTGACAATAGATGACCTTTAATGTTTCATAGGTCATTCCCTGATTTTGCACACAGATTGCGTTTTATGTTATTTCAGTACAAAATATCTAACTTATTTAGATCTTTAACATTTCTCGATGTGAAAACATACAGCATTATATATATGAATAATCTGGACATTTACAGCATATCCAGATTAAGATGAATTTCAAGTAACATACACGAAGAATTCGGTGAGAAATGCGGTGAAATAACTACTAATTAATATACTGTCGTTCGCATTTCTCTGTTTGTGTTTTCCTTTCACTTATATTTGAAACAACCGCATAATTAAATGCACATTTGAAAATTTCTATTATATCCTAAAACTCGTGGTACACATTGGAAAGGAAAACATTGGATATTGTGTATTTCATGCTATTTTTGCAAACTAATCCTGTGAGCTTTATTTGATAAATTTTCGCTATATCAATTTTTTTTTCCCCAAAAATGCAATGTCTAAAATTTTATGTCATTCATACAGTCTATATTAGACATACGATGCAATTTCATAGTTATATGTATCACAGGCATTACATTTGCATTAATAAACTATATCTAATATTAATTTACATCACATAAGAAACTAATGTATTTTTTCTTCTTTTGTATATTGGGATTATAACACAATGAATGAAAAACTGAAATCAACACGATCTTACTTCTTGGATGGAAATTATACATTCGCTTGACGTTGGAATGAGATGGATTGCGTTTTGGAGGATTTGCGATACGGAGAGCATAAATTATAAAAGGATTAAAAGACATAGATGAAAATGAGAATAGCGAAACAGGATACTTTCAAGAGGAAATTCAGGATCAGGAGAGAGAAAGGATTCTCAATTGCTGGCTCAGGAAACGTTGGCAAGTCCATTACGAGGAGGCGATGAATGCCGATTAATATTTCTTTTTAAAACTAGTAGAATCCCAGTTTAAAACTAAATATTTTTGTGTGTCGCTGTTTTAAAGAAAAACATAACGAGAGTGGAACTTCCTCATTATGTTATGTGCTTATCAGGATTAAAGTGCTTACAGTTGCGTATTATTTCCGCGTATCGATTTAAAAAGAAAATAAAAGCATTCCGCGCGTTTATTAATTCATTTATAATCTGAGTCAAACTAGTAATGGATTGTCAACTATAATTGGATTCTGTTTGGTTTATAACTAAAGTTTTTTGAACTTTAGTGAAGATTAATTTTTCGGATCATTAAGGATGGATTTTCTGCATGATATTTATCCTCTTCTTGATACAATGTATAACATCAATACTAAACTCAATTTTATTAGCCATTACATATGAAACATTTCGTATTTAGTGAAAGGTGGAAGTGATTCTTTGGAAAAACTGTTGCATGTCTAATAATTGTTCGATAATATCGGCGATCTAAAGTCCAATTGTCAAACAAAACGTGTTTTTCGATAACTATTACTATTTTCTCGACCAATCGTGACCGTCAAGTGCATCTTTTTCTCGCGTACATTGTAAACCACAGTGTCTTCAGGATTTAACTGACATAAACAAGAGGATGGTACATTTGAGTAACACTACCTGTCTGTCATCTTGACGGGAACCGACCTCATAATTTTAGAGCAACTCCTTACAAACGGTACGAAGGACAGGATTCTCCGGATATGTTTGGATTAGGATGCTAGCAGGATTCGAAACGGGATAAATTAGTATGCATGGACGAATATTTTTGGATAAGGATAAAAATTGCCTGCGCTGTATTCACCGGATCACTCGGATTCATTAAGGGAACGATATGTGATGTGGAAGAATGTGGATTTGGAAGCATGATATCGTTCACGCTTCATAGGGTTCATGGATTTATCTCCTAGGTCGGATACGGAATTTGGACTCGTATTTAGCGAGATCAATTGACAAGATAATTGGATGTCATTTTTCTCACGGATGAAATGAAAAGCGGATGAGATGATGGCTGTAAGGTATTTGTGCAAACAGTTTATACCTGAGATACTATCGATATTTATTTCTGCATGCTCTCTTCGAAAATATTCTTACATTCGTATTTTCATTTTTATCACCAACAAGGCAAATGCAACTTAGTAACACGCAATATAAAAAGCCTGCCTCGATAAAAGTCTTAAAATGTGTTTGCATTAATAACCGATCCTCTTTGTGTTTAGCTTCATTCTCATTGTTGTGAAATTTGTTATACATAACTCATAAGACAGATTTTGCAACAATAGCAGTAACTAGTTTATAACATTTTGCCTCTTTTGTTCAATTAACATCACAGATAAGTATATTTTTAATATTTTATGTGTTATTTCTGTGTTATACACATACATACACACACACACACACACACATTTTATATATATATATATATATATATATATATATTATATATATTTATTCTGTTATAGTTAATTGTGTACGAACAATGTGTAGTAATAAGAAGAATATGAATAGCGTCAAATCTGTAACAGTCTTGCATAGTGTGTATTTATCCATAAAATTCAAAATGATTATTCAAATTGATAGTAACAGTTTCTCTATTGCGCATTTTTGTTATATTATTATACATACAAATTTATCATCTGCTATATATAAAATTTTATTATTCCGCGCATTGTACATACCTAAATATTTTCTACATTGTACAGGACATACAATTTAGGATGTACTTCACAACTAAATATAACACCGATTGCTTTATACTTTCATTAAATAGGATTTCCCTAACATGACGCTTCTTTGCAATTCTTTTCTTACACAGTACCTTACTCTTTTAAAAAATTCTTGTGAATTATTAAGCTGGCAAATGAGACAATTAAAAATAAATATGTTAAGAATGATATTGTTTTATACAATTTTCCTTCAATTATCGCCTATGAATAGATCTACTTAAAGTAATATCACGCGTTTAAGGTATGAATTAATGCCTTCATGGATTTGTAAATAAAAAAGTCATAATCATGTTTCACCTTGGGTAAGTATTATATTTGAAATTTTTTTATCGAATACTTTATTAGGCTGCTTTGTTAGCGTACAATAGGCGCATGCCTTTTTAAAATTTAAAGCTACAAAGTTAAGCACGCATTTATATGAAAATCTTTAAAGGATAATTGTATTTATATTTGATTTATAATAAGAGATGTATTCTATTTGAACAAATCGAAAAGTTGACTAACAAAAAACGTTATTTATTTATGCATTTTTTGCGTTAATATGAAAAAAATATATATGTATATTTAGAACGAAAAGCTAGAGAAGAGAATAAAAAGTGCGAAAAGTGAACAAATAAATTTATAAAATGTGCATTGAAGTTTTAAAAAATTGTCACGATGATTAATACGCAAAAATATAAAAATTGTGTTGACGTTATTTATTAAAATTTGTTACTTGTACATAATATTGCCAATAAAAAAATATAAAAAATGTAAAAAATAAAAACTTATAAAATCAGCCTGAGAATTTTAAGACAAATACGACGAATTCATGTTTGAAAATTGACATCATATTTGAAAATTGTTAATGCTTTATTTTGATTTGCCACACGATACGTGCTCTAAATACAATGTTCGTCATAAACAACGATTTCGTCCAGTCTCAATTAATCTCCCGAATGGGTATAATAATAAGATTCTTGATAAGCACGTTCTCCAGAGCAGAGAATAGCGTCCGCCACGTCTTTTGGTTTTAGAGCCAATCGTGAATTTTCTTTTAACCATTGCTGGTTGAGCTCGGTCTCCATTAAGCCCGGACAGATATTCTGTTGCAAGAAAATGAATCATGTTAACAGATATAAAAAAAAAATAAACCGTCAAATTTTCAATATACCTTTTTCTGAAATATTTTTTATTTTTATTTAATAAAAAATTATTAAGCAAATTATTATTACTTTTAAGCAATAACTTTCTTAATACTATGTTTTAAATATATTTTGTCCGTAAGAATTTATTCCGTAAGAAAAACCAAATTTTCTTTCAATCGAATAAAATGTTAAGAGATCATAATTTGAAACAGTTTTAACTTTATCATATGTTGCAATGATAAAATTGACTTTATACATAAGTATTTAAAAAAACAATTCGTTACAGTACGATTCAAAGTTACTTACGGTCACTTTGATGTTGGACTCGTTTTGGGCCAACTCCAGACGAAGACATTCACTCAGTGCGGTCAACGCGAACTTGCTTGCAGCATATGCCGGGGAAAGAGGTCGGTCGGAGACAAGAGGCAACAATTTCAATCCGCATACGTCGTTGACATTGATGATCCATTGTCGATTTCTAATATTTTTTTTATTTATCAGAGATATACAAATAATTTTTTTCTAATTTTCATTGATACCTACTCTTGTCCTTCAATTGCAGAATCTTCTTAGTGAGAAGCGAGTCAAGTTGATATCAATAATCTTTTTAAATTCTTGTATATCATCATTGATGTTGAACCCATCTAAGCTAATACTAGCGCTATTTACTAAGATGTCCACACTACCCAGGTTCTTCTCTATCCACTCCGATGCACTTTCGATCTCGTTCGGAAGACTTAAGTCGCATTGAAGAGGATATAATTTGCCGGATTTGTCCTTCAGCTCATCCACGAGAAGCTACAGAAATCATAAAAGAGATTACTAAAGTCTGCGACACAGGATGCTTGTTTTCCTACTGGAAAACTGCTAGCTGGATTAGAATCTTGCCACCGTATTGGCTGCTGTCAGTGTCAGCATCGTAATCAATACGATGGCAAGATTCTAATCCAGCAAGAAAACAAATATTGTGTGCCATCGGCTTAACTCATAATTTATTAATATTATAATTCATTTATTGTTATTAAATAAAGCACTCTACAAATTTGATTCGAAGTATTTGATTAATCAATCGGAAGAAAAAATTTTACTAATTGACTGATTTGTAGCATCAAATAGACCGTAATCATAATTCATAATTTTTATATGCAATTTGATTATATTTTTGACAATGTTAAAATTAAATATACCTTCAGCTTGTTTATATCGTTGGAGAGGTCGATGACTTTAAATCCCTTTGACACTAATTCTTCGGTGACTGCCTTACCAATTCCGGAGCAGGCGCTGGTGACAAGGACGATCTTGTTCGTTAAAGTTCATACTAAAGGTTAATTCAAAGGAACGAAAGAAGATTGCTGTTCACTGTCACGAAAAGCTTCTGCCGATCCATATCCCCGACACCTATTTACATCATGCTGAAAATCTGGTCCTCGATTAGGGGGTCGTGTATAATCTACGTCTAGATAATTCATTGCTTTCTGAATGATGCATTTTTGTGCGGGTATTGTATATTATTTGTGATATTACCGCTTGTTTTTGGCGCGTGGCAGAAGAATACCTCCATCTGAAATACAACACCGTGTTCATATGCCGATAAGACGTATCGTCGTTGTTGAAACTTGAGATACGCTCGCGAATGTTAATTATCACGGAAACGAAATATCATTAATGAAAATAATAATTAATTAAAGTCAATGTTTTGTTTATTTTATATAACTGCATGATCTACGATATGTCTCGTGTTTTTTTTCGAACTTTTTAAAAATTAATATTATCTAAATACATAAAAATATTTTTATTTTAAATTACACATACAATACATATATATTTAATTTGACATTTTATTATAGAGGTTTATATAAAAAATACTTAAATTAAAATTTATAATGGCCTTTTGAAAAAAATCAAAATTATTTAAGAAAGGAGCATAAAAGCGTTGGATATTATTGCGAAATAATTTTTTAAATGAAACATAAATACAAACGTTTAGATCTTTTTTTAGATCATATCTCAATGTTTACAGTAGTAAAATTAAATTAAAATTATGTAGAGAATCATTAAAAGCGCAATATAAATTAAAAAACTTATAATGGTTAGATATATTTTTATTTACAATTATTATAAAAATTTGCATGTTAAATTATATTGCTACCAAGATGTTGATCATAATTTATTGTACATTTTGCAGTAACTACTATTTTTTTAGTTCTTATCGAAATTGTTCTTAAAATTGGAAATTTATATGCAATAGAAAAAGAATTTGAATGCATGAATTTTGAGAACAATTTTCATAAAAAACTAGAAATATATCATGATTGCTGCAAAATGTACGATGAATTGCAATCAACATTTTAGCAGATATAACTTGATACTACAATTTTTTATAATAATTGTATCTAACTTTATAATAATTGTATCTTACAAGCTTTTAATTTTTTGCACTTTTAATGATTCTCTACACATAATTTTAATTTAATTTTACTACTTTAAATACTGAGAATGATCTAAAAAGACTAAAAAACGGTCGAAACGCCTGTATGTTTATATAATTTAATATGATAGAATTCTTTTGCAATAATATCCAGCGTCGGCTTTATGTTCCTTCCTCTAATAACTTTAAAAAATACTTGTTATTATTTCATCTTTGGCGCAAAGTACAATTTTACATTGAGTATTAATGCATGAATATTATAAGATATATATTTTTAAATATAAATATTTTTTATATAATAATTAAATGCACTCAGTAATAGATAATTATTTTATAGCAATAGGTAATCACAAGTGGCACATAGTGCTTACAAAGCATTAAAAAAGTGCATAATCGCTTTTTTAGCACTTTACAAGCACTTATACTGTGCTACTTGAGATAATCAATAATAGGATTACAAAAGTAAGAGCAAAAGGTAATACTTCAGAATTAATTAATGTTTAATATTAAAATAGTATCTTCTTCAGATTATAATAAAAAATAGCATGAGATCGAGAATGCTGACGAAACGAATTTGCACTATTTTCGAAAAAAACGATAAAACGTTCTGCAATATCTTTGTTAGGAACACTACATCAGAAGTTTCAGAGAACGTGAAGGATCTCTCGCGAAGTGGTCTCATCAGCAAATCCGCATACAAACAGTTTGGCGCAGAAAACGAGAAAATTCGTACCTGATCGCGAATATTGCGCGACAGCGCGTCTCCGCGCACGTTCATCTTTTATGTTGATTTATGTCGATCATCTTCGATTCTTTCAGAATCTATCACTATTTTTTAAAATTAAAAATTATGGTAGAAGTCCTTGCAATACTGCAGTTGCATCGTTAAAATGCAGCAACAATGCCCAGCAACACACAAATTTTTCAGTAATGAAAAGTCGCATTATTATGATTTTTCAATAATGGATCTTAATTTAGGACACCTCTATCTCAAATTTTTAATATATGCTCTATTGCGATACGGTATTTAAAAATATATAAAACTTATTATTTAGATTTACATATATATATTTATATATTTATTTTATGATAACGTAAAATCAGAGTTACATAATAAAGTATTATATTTTATTGTATATTTCTATGATTTTTACTAATATAAGCGAATTTTTCAATCAATCTGCCATGCTAAAATATGTATAAACAAGAAAAGAAATATAAAAAGAAGAAGCATAAGTAATGTCACTTTTTTAGCTTGATAAAAAGTTTGAAAGTTGAAAAGCACAATTATTCTAATTACATTCAACATTTCGTATTTGATCGCTTTGAAAATCGATTACCACGATTCGCCCAGAGGTCTCAATACGACATCCTGTATCTGTGGGGAGAAGATATCATTTTTATTTAAGTTTTATTTTATATAACAAGAGAAGACAATGTTTAGACTGTCTAAAGACGTATGTATGACGTACCAACACGTGAGGAGGATTAGACAACACATAAATTACCGCCGCTGCGACGTCGTCGGGATTCAAAACCGGCATTGCTGCCATTGTTTCCGGGGAGAACACGCTATAAGAAGCCATGAATTCCGTCGCAACCAAACCAGGACTAATGTTCTACATATGACAGAAATAATGTAATTAAAGAGGTTTGTTCTTACCTTATGCTTCTTGTTCTATTTTACATATGTATATACTTCTTATCATCAATTGTATAAAAATAATTTTTAATAATTAAGGAAAGAATTTAAAATGATTTCAATAAAAATACATTGTTTTGAGGAACAGTTATGTTTCATTTATCAATTGTCTTACTGTGACACGTATGCGCGTGCCCGCAAGCTCGTGTCGCAAAGTCATGGCCAGGCCGGTGATAGCACGCTTTGATGCCGGATATACGCTAAATCCTGGAACGGAAGGTACCCTCTCGGCAGCCAAACTATTCACGTGAATCACAATGGCATCTTCATCCGCCGTTTCGCGCATCATGCGTACAGCCTCGCGTGTGCAGAGACAGAGTCCCAGAACATTCACGTCGAACACGGATCGCCAGTCCTCTAAAGTACCATCTGTAAAACATGTTGGAGAATTAACTCAATTATTTTACGTTATTCTCTACAATAATTTATTATCTATCTGCATTTTTATCTTTTTTACAATAAAATTGTCTATTTTGTATATTTGATTGAACAGAAGAGTTTAAAGAAAAACCTATGAAAATTTCTTTAGAAATAAAGAAATGTTAACATCGAATTTAGAATTTATGCGAAGCTCTTACAGATCCGTAATAAGAACTCCGCATAAATTCTAAATTCGATGTTTCTTTACTTCTGAAGAAATTTTCTTACGTTTTCTTTAAACTCTTCTGCCCAATATCAAGATCTTTACCTATGAGCGAAGATTCTTTGATGATACCAGCGCTGTTAACGAGAACGCTTATCGGTCCAAGATTATTCTTTATCCATGCGAAAGCTACGGTTACGCTTTCCTCTTTAGTGACATCGCATTCCACGGCATGAAGTTTGTCCGAGGAATCTTTCAAACAATCAGCGATTTCCTTAATTTTTTCCACTCTCCTCGCGAAGCCTGCCACTATCATACCTGACATAAGAAAACGATTATACCAATGAGCTCCATATTATATTAATTCAAATTTTTCACATTACAATAATTCTCTAATAATAAGACTTTGAACGCAATATTTTACAACATTTCAAATAGCACATCAATCATCTTGTTTTCTTTCGAATGTAACAGTGATATTACACTTCCAATTAGTGAACGTTACGGCAACAATTATCTCGCGAGTCGAGATAAACGTGTGCAATCGTAAAGTCAAATTTCTCGCCGGAGAAATTTTTTAACATAATATTAATTTATTGTAATTGGAACACCTTCTTCACCTTGTTTAACAAGATTTCGTGCGATTGCTGCACCAATTCCGGCACTGGCACCAGTTACTACGGCCACTTTTCCGTTCCATCGCTCCATCCTTCTGCAGTGAGACTTGAGACGCAACTGCGGACCAGAAGCCCTCGATAATCCGATTGCGTTTACAAGCTCTAGTCATCAATATGGAGAAAAAGGAGGACAGACATCCAAGAGGTATGAAATTCGATAGTAAAAGAAATTCTTTGTAACTGACCACTGCCTGGCCTTGATCAGATGCAATTACATCTGATTGAATCTCGATCTTACGAAGGAAATAAAAAATCAATAGATTTTTTTTTTAGAAAAACAGGAGAAGAATTCAATCGGAATAAGTTCAATTTATTTCGTTTATGTTTGCATATTATTTATTATCTATATTAATATATTATTTATAAATTGTTTAAGAGCAAAATTTTTATTCAATTTTTTACATTCATCGAGTTAATTAGTATAATTATACTGTATATTTATCGTTTAATTATTTTATACATAGTTATTAATTATAATATTAAAATTCCAATTAAATTTCTTAAATTTAGTCAAAGACCAATTATTGCGTAATATACGAGATGCAATTGCTTCTTTGTCATTTTAAACGCATCTCGAGACCAATTGAAGACTAATTATCAATTGAGTTTATAATGAATTAGCTAACAACTGCATATTTATGAGACCATATGTTCATGTATGTCTGCAATTATCTAATAAACATCGCATAAATTATGAACGGATTTATTTGTTTTCCGTTCCATATGAATATCATGCAAAGTTATGTTAAAAATTCGAATTATACTTATTATAAATCGCAATTAGGTAAAGGGGTAAATAAATACTGTTCAATTCCGATTTGGCTACAAGTATATTTTGGGCATGAGGCGTCTACATGGATGAGTACTATACAATGCGAGGTATTAATTTTTCTCTCCTAGAGATCTAAAGTTTTCTTTATCGTATAACCGTGATATATCTCGAAATGATAATGATCGATCGAATGTGTAGAATTTCTAAACATCGGGACTTAGGCAGACAAACTTGGTACAAAGAATTGTGTATATGTTTCTTCCTTTCTATTTTTTTAGATGTTTAGAAGAGAACGTGTCCTCCCTCTTTCTGTCACTTTTAAAAAACGCACCTCTCACTAACTCAACCGACGAACGAGCTCTAACATGTATAGTCGTATTAAAAGACGAGAAATAAAAAGGGATGTTCACGCCTTTGCTCTCTCTGTACTGCTTACTACACTGCCAATTGTTCTATTTACAAATCCTATTCCTTTTTACAAATATCTATACGTTGCAAGAAAATATATCACTTCTTCTCGTGTAGAGACACGTACGCTACGTTTACATCACGCTGAGTTCGCACCTTCTCTAAGCTGGTCATTGTTGTTCATCTACCTTACGCGACGCGTATTTATAACGTGAATATCGAGAAACATATGTGGCAAGGAAGGATACAATAAAAGTATAAGTTTCCAAAGTGAAGAGAGACATTTGCTTCGCGCTTAGTACTGGTTCCGATTAACCGGTTGGAAACCGCGATCTCATTGTATTTCCGCTGTTCCCATGGCTAACTAAATTTATTAATAATACGCGTCTAAACTAAATCTCGCACGAGTCGTAGGAAAATGCATCAGAGGATGCGAATTTTCACAGCATTTCAGAGATGTTGTCTTACATGTTTCTTTAGTATTGTACAGTTACATTATTATATTATATATAATGTCTATTTTTTTGGGAACATTACATGTACCCTAACGAACGCTCTACGAGCTATCGAGAGATCTTTCTTTTTCCGTATTTGAACTCGTACAAAATAATAACCACAGTATTTACTCGATACATCGACATAGTACATTTTTCTATACATTCTACACACAACGGTTTTCGCTAACATCTCACGTACACGCTGTATGTAAACAAAATATAGATAGAAATCACAGATTAGACTCGATTATAGGCGAGAAAAAAAAGAGAGACAGCGAACGAATAGAGAACTATTTGTTGTTATTTACTTCATTGTTTTATCGTGAGAGAAGATCGAGCATTAAAAGACGATAGAAATAATAGAAATAATATTGGTAATCAAAAGATTCAAAAGTTAGCGAGGCTAGCCATCGCAATTTGGCGTTTACCAACTGCTTACTCTGACTATACACGAGCTAAAATAAATCTTTTATTCTTCCGAATCGCGGGCGATCACAATCTCTCTTTCTCCTCGTGTCATATACATATAAAATTGTACCGCCAATTACGAATACTTATTGTATATAATTGCTTTAAGTGACACGTACACGTATACTCACGTGCACGCACGAATACAAGAATACCACAGCTATCACATCGACGTAGGACTACATAATAAAAATTTGCGCCGCAAAAATCCAATATTAACGAATTAAGCTAAAAATAAATATTAATTTTTTTCTTATGTTTTTAATTATTACGATTTTTCGCAATAATTTCATTCCTGGAAGAGGAAAGAACGTTAGCAAATCTGAAGAGAGAGAGAGAGAGAGAGAGAGAGAGAGAGAGAGAGAGAGAGAGAGAAAGAGAGAAATAAAACAAAATTGTTATCTTGCCTATGTCTCATGAATCTTTAAATAAAATACTCTTTGGAAAAGAGATAACACACTTATACCCAGGGTAGGCAAGCGTAAGGGGCGCAACTATTCTTGTCGTGGATGCTAACGAAGGGAAGCGAGTGTCGTTGCTTGTGTCAGTGTTGACGAGGATAGGGATCCAACTGCGTGTTTTTGTGCACCTGCGGTGTTACATTGCTCGATTGTGATTGCTCCTGTCTGTGTTGCTGATAGGGATATCGAATTTGATAGTTTTGTTGTTGCTGCTGATGTTGCTGCTGATGCTGCTGATGCTGCTGATATTGCTGCTGATGTTGCTGCTGATGTTGCTGCTGTTGTTGCAATTGTTGTTGGTGTTGACGTTGTTGATGCGGTTGCAGGTACTGTTGTTGCGATTGCAGTGACTGCGGTTGCTGCTGTTGCTGCTGCTGTTGCTGCTGGCCCTGTTGTTTTCGTTGCTCCGAACCAGCCGCCACGTAAGAAAATACGCAGAGGACAGCGTAGCAGATATCAGACGCCTTCGAATAAAAAGATATTTCGCGCTGTTAGGTACATAATATATATTATTCGTGTCTTTTTATTCATTAAAAGCTTTGATGTTAAGAAAATGTCGTTAGAATGTCGTTAAAATAAATATTAAATTTTATTAATTTTTATATAATTTTTCATTTTATCTATATAAAACCAGCCTGAAATTATTTGAAACAGTAAATTAAATAATAAAAATTGTCTTTTGAATATAATTTATAAAAACACAAAATGAAGAAAAGAACTTACGTGAAGTGTAAGAAAGGAAAAAACTTAAAAATGAGTCTCATGCGGTGTCATTTCCGCGCTTATGTTTCTGATGAGTCTCCAACGGGAGTTTATTAAGAGTAAATGCGATAGAAAATATTCTATGCAAGCAGTGAACCGCCTCTTCAGCCTGTCGTACAGTATATAACTATAGAAATAATAACAAAAATTTAAAATAATAAAATGTCTATCACTTTTTCTGACTCTTTTTATCTATTCTTGGATATACAAATATAATTAATTAACGTAAACCATTGTTTATATTTTATACATTTATTAAACTCTTAAACTATTGTAAAATTAGAAAAAAATGTTATCACGTATAAAATAAATATTTTATTCAGTTAAAGAATATATTATTAACGAAATTAAATTATTATTTCATTTTATAGTAAAACAGACATTTTATTACTTTTTTCTCGAAACAAATATCTTTTCTCATTACGATAGATATTTTTATTCCGACAGTAAAAAGTTTTGAAACACACGTACTCACCATTTGTGACTTATATTTACGTTGAATTACTTGTCTAGTTTTAGGATCTGAAAAAGAAAAGCACTCGATATTCCGACATTCAAAAATTAAATGCTAAATTACAGCGTAAGCGTGTCAGAGAATATTGTGAATCTATTCTTTTTTTTCGAGATATCTACGGCGTAAAAGCATAATCGATGCAGTATTCGATATGTCACTTACTGAATTCTTCCAAAACAAAGATTCCATCCTTTTGAGTAAAGCACTTGCGGATATGATCGAGTCTTACAAAAAACTGCAAATAACACAATCGGTTTGCGTTAGTGATCTGCGCATCGCGTATCATAAATCTGGATCTACTCGATCATGCACACGATTCTGACGTTTCTCTATTTGCCTATCATTATCATATGCGTCGATATAGCAATATCAGTCGTGTGTGCGAACAGCTTTCTAAACGAGGCGTGAAAATGTATCGTGATGCTCGTTCGACGATAAACGTCTGTTTTTACCCTTCGAGCGCTGATTTTGTCGCATCTTTTATCAATCAACAATAATTCTTAGCTATATTTTAATTAATTATTAAATACTCCTATATTATTATATTTATTGCAACAAAATTATAAATTTTTTTATTAAAAATCTAAAAGCGCTCGATGGGTTTTGCACAAGAAGTGTGTTTCACCTACTGCCTGTTTTAATCGATGCATGTCGCCGTACAGAAAATCACAATTATACAAACTAATTACAATTTGCAAAATTATACACTTCTTTCGTATAATTTTGCACGATATTTTTTATCGATAGTTTATTAATGACATAGAGACGCGCGTGATGTATATCGGATAAAAAAAATCACCGATAAAATTTGTAACAATTTTAATAACTATTATTATTATTATTTCATATCGTTTATACAATAATTAAGTATAATTTGCACTTATAATTAGATGCAAAGCAATACTGTTGTAATACTAACATTGTCGCGACCAGATCATGTTTCTTTCGTTTTCCAGAAATAGTTAGAAATAGAAAGATATGTTTTATTCCAAATGTATTTATTTCAAAGATTTGTGATTTTATTTAAAAAAATTTTTTTTTTCAATGTTGTATGTAAAGCGAATGAATCTAACACAGAGGATATTTATTTTGCATGTTAAAACCTGTACATTTTGAATGTTAAATTACTTTATAACATTCGCATTTCAATTATATGTTGGGGTTAACTTTATATTCCCATGTAATTATCTACTACGAAAGGAGAGGGCATTGAAAGATAATCTCGCGACGACGATATCCGTG